CCTCCCTCCCTTTCTGTCTCTCTGCCCCCGCCCCCACCCCCAATCGACAGCTTTGCTATCGATCTGTAACAATGCTGCATTGCCTTACTTGAGACTTGGCAGTCAGGTTTTTACTGACTGCTCAGGCTTTTGATCTCTACGATTGCTGCAGTTATTTTTGCTCGTAATTTGTGTACTTTTTATCTTTGCACTTCGTTCGTAAATAACGTCAGTTTCCGGATTTGCTTTTATGTGCTTTATCTGGTGTGGAAGTGGTTCAAAGAGAAACTTTCAATCTATATATATTAAGTTTATATATACAATCTGGTGCCAATTCAATTTTATTTACATTTCCCCCTCTTTTTAATTTTTTAAATCAATAAAAATGTGTCCTATACTATGTATTTACATCTAGAATACTCCCTTAGATTCGAGTTTGAGCGGGTGGTTGGATCATGGAGGGTGCCTCTTAACTTTGAGATGAAGCTTCCTTTCTTTCTTTCTGAACTTTCTTTCTTTCTCCCACTCTGTTGTATCTCTGCCAGTCCCTAATCCTGCCTTTTCTTACATTAATTTAATTTATAAACTTTGTTATCACGTCTATGTTTTTCTTTGATTACACAAACTGAACTCAAACTGCCTAATTCGAAACTCCACTTTTGTAATAATTACATTTTAAGATGCTATTTTGTTGCTCTTAAAAGAAAATCGGTGATTCACTCATAGATTGTTACTTGTTGACAAGTCGTTATCTATTGACCTGCTATTTTAGTTTTAGTTTGCCGGGTGCCCATTGCGAATCGGTATGGTCGATTTATGATAATGGTCTGTGCGCAAGGCGAATACACTTCTCCTTACGTTAAAGATCCGTTGGTGGTGGTCCAAAATCGATTTAATATATAGAATTAAAAGAGTAGGCTTCGGCCGGCACTAGGGCAAAATTCAAAATTTCCTACCTACTCACACGGCTACGGAGTGCTCTTAATGCGTCCCGTGCGCTCGACTTTTTTATGCAGTTGCAAGCTCCGTAAAACACTCTAGATCTACCAAATAAAAATGAAAGACTTTTTCCTTGTTTTGTTGTGTCAAATTTGACAAGAACAGAAAAGTCTGATGGGCGCATGGTGTATTGAACACAAAACGTGCCGTTCAGAACACGATCGTTTCCTTTAATTGGCTTCAAGTGTCGACTGCCGCATTTTAAATCGCAGTCGCAAAGTTGAGATGTTCTTGGATCCTGCTATTCCTCTAACCATGACCTGGGATATCGATAGCTTTTTAGATTTTTATCCAGTATCAGCTTTTCCAAATTTGCCCCGTACATAATTCGTATTCCGTGCGCACGCTGTATAGTCTGATCGTTCGACTCTCGACCTTACTTACCCTCTATCCGTACGTCGTGTTTTACTGTCGTATGTGTATAAAATGTGAAGAATACAACCCCGGGGGTACAAAATGATCCCAGGGTGTACGGATAGGATTTATTAAACCCAACATTGATTTTCTCTTGAGGTTCATCCTCAAATTCGTGTGAAATTTGTAATTTCGGTCGAATAGTGCCACGATGGTAGACTAGCTTTTGCCCTTCCCCATGGAGGAACATCTGGCTCACCCGGACTCAATTCGACTGACTTCGACTGGCATTGTGTACTGGGTTTAATAATATAATATAATAACACTCACCATGACGGCCTACGTACTTAACCACGCAAATCTCAACTGTTTGAACTAAGAACACGCGGAGGAGCAGACCTATTTTTTTTGTATCTGATCTGGTGTGTGGTTTTTGACTTTCACCGTGGTTACAAAAATTACAGTTCTCATTCCCTCTCTTTGTTTCCCTCCAAGTCTAAGGTAACTAAAAGAAAAAAAATCCCCATTACCTTGTGTTAGCTGAACTTCTTTTAATCTTAGCTTGATTTACTGATCTTATCTCCCTGCCCCCCCCCCCCCAACAACCGGGAGTCTGTCCAACCGGTAGGCCTACATGTAGTATACTCAGTGCATACAGCCAGTCGTAGTCACGAGTCTGAGTCAGCTAGATTTTCCATCATGGAGGAGCAAATAACTACCATTTTGGTACACATACAACCTATACGAAGCGCGACCTTGAAAAACAAATACGTTGATTATGAAGGTCACAATTGATTTTCGTCAAATTCGGTCGAATTGTGCTAGAATTGTAGCCTTTGCCCCTCCATGGAGAAAGAACCTGACTGGCTCCGACTCAATCAAATTTTATATGAATTCTACTGGTAGCGTACACTCAAATTACTGAGGCGTACTGCTTTGCAGTAAACAACACGTTCATCACGGCAAACACTCTCTATCCAGTTACCTTAGTATGCATCACATGTGGTGTCTTAATTTAATTTTAATCACGTATGTCCCTCATGTTTTGTATGTCACGTTGTCGTGGGCAGTAATGATAAGCTATCATCTCTGTCACCCCCAAAAGTACAAACAACGAAAAAAAAAAAAGTAGAGGAACTCCCTCCTAAATCTGTCCCGTTCCGGTTTCGGCATATCCCGACTTTAACATTCAAACTCTTTACATCATGAGCAACCCCCCCCCCCCCCCCCCCTTTACACTTACACGCACACTCAAACACTTTGTGTGTAATTTGTGTAAGTAAGCCATGAAGTCATGAAGTGTATCGAGCACAGCGTGGTGAAGACACGCGATGCTTCATGTGTGCTGCTACAACATCGTGCGTGTGTCAGTTTTGTGATCCACTGATGTTAGGTTAGGTAGAACAGTTTTGCCCCACCCCACCCCTGTCTGTTGATGGCGCTCTTATGGTCTGCTCCTT